GCAGATGTCATACATGGTGCGCAGCATGGGAGCAATAAAATAATGCTATAGTGGAAGGTGAACGGGGACCAGAGATGGGAGGATCAGCAAAGCTGGGGGTTACTACTGAGTGGGGTATCAGCAGTCCTAGGGGTACTACTAAGCGGGGGATCAGTAGAGTTAGAGGTACTACTCAGCTGGGGGATCAGAGGATCTGTGGGTAATATTGAGTGGGACATCAACAGATCTGGGGATGCTACTGAGTGGGAAATCTGCTGAACGAGGGTGCTAATGAGCTGGGGATCTGCTGAATTGGGTACCAATGACTTGGGGATCTGCTGAGCAGGGGTTCTACACAACACACACAGGGCATTTGCCAAGCTTCAGAAAGGTTTCACAGAAACCTCAAAAATGCACGTGGAATGGTAGTTGCTTTAATTTGTGTTAAAGTCAAAGCAAGTGTAAACTAGCTCTAGGGACTTGTTTAGACTTGTGGATGGGGGACAGTAAAACCAAATGGCTGAGCTACATTCTTCTACTTGCTTCTGGGTCCTGTGCTGAGTGGCTGACCTAATACATTTTGAATACAGGAATTGGACGCTAAGCATGGGCACCATTTAGAGAATATATTTGCATTTTCTGATTGAATGCAAAGAGTTCTCTGATTGGATGAGGTGGAGAGCATAACATCACTGCCCTGACTCTCCATCTTGTCCATTTAGAGATCGGCTTGCATTAATTGAGGAAAATGCAAGGCATTCTGTGAATTGCACCAATGCTGAGCAAGTGACTCCCTGTGTTTACAATAACAGCAGAGACTACTATAGTGATATCTGACCTCTACAGGGATCCCAGAGGTATGCCATATGCATACTTACATTGTTCCAAGCTGGACCTAACAATGCAATGCAAGCCTTTCCTGAAAATCAGCTTTAAATACTGTAGCTGCTGACTTTTAATAAAAGGACACTTACCTATTCAGGGATCCAGCACTGTCCTTGGCACTGGCATGTTTACTAACGGAAGTTCGATGGGACTCCATATGGCATCATAGCTGGCTTCCCACTGTGCATGAACGAGCCATTCTGCACTTTGTGAATGGTCCCATACAGGGGCGGACTGACCATTTGGAAACTCAGGCACTGCCCGAGGGCGCAGGGTCAGTAGGGGGCCCCATGAGATGCCCCTGGTAACTTTTTCATAGGCTTTTTTACGTTTGGGCAAGGACACAGGGGCCCCATGATCCCCTATTGCCCGGGGGCCCCATGAGTTGTCAGTCCACCCCTGGTCCCATAGCCTTCCAGGACCTATGATGTGTCCCAGAGGGCTGCTGGCAAATGTTGGGGGGGTCAAACTTACACAAAGATCGCTTAGATCAGGATAAAATATGCTTGAGGGTAAATATCTGCTGTATGTACCATGTATTAATATATTGGAAAAAGTTATCTCTAGTCATAAATATACATTAGGGAACTTGTGATTTCACAACATAGGCTAATAACGGCTTATGCACAATCCCAACCACTGGATCTCTATAAGATTTTTTTTGCTTGGCTGTTTTGCTGAGATTTTGTTTCCTCTTTTTGACACTGCTATCACATGTGATTTAACAATCGATGAGCTTGCTGTTTTGGGTAGGTGAGATTGCAATAACAAAGCATAGACAGGGTGATATATAATATTTTGCATGACCCTTGCTTCTAACAGATAACATACATAGAGACTTTTTTGAGTTGGGAAAACAATGTGTGGCTGATCCAAAGAGGAAGCTGTGCTTGGAAATGAAACTGCTTGTTTTTCATATTTAAGAGAATTCATAAAATAAGGAAGTGATTTTTTTTAAAGCAGAACTCCAGGCAAAAACTTCTTTACATATCTTTGTTGCTGATTTCCTACCTTCACTGAGTATGTCATCCATCTTATGATTAACTCAGAAGTTGCTCTGAAATAGCCTATTTATTTTCAAATCAAACTGTTAATTCTCTTTGGTTTCCTGTTTGTAAGACCAGTGACTGCTATGCCTCCTATTCCCCCAGCCACTGTCTTGGCACATCCCTTCTGTAGTTCTTTCTCCAGGAAGCAGTAATGTAATTCAGCCCCATTTCCAGTGACTCTTGGAGACTCTCAGACACATTCAACATGTACAGGTCTAGTTTAGCCGTCCATAGTCATTACAATTCCCTGTGGTTGATAGGAACTGTAGTTTCCTTTTACTGCAGAGAGAAGGAAGGGGATGTGATGTAATCCCTGCTGTTACACCTCCTCCTTGGCAGAGCAGATGTGTTATCTTTTGAATTACAGAGATGAGGTCATGAAAAATTAATTAGACCTTTTTCCTAAATGGTAAGCATTTTCAAAATTGTATTAACGGTTTAGAATTTTATGCAGGGGCATGTAGTAATGGGTGATTGCCTATCCCAGAGCTCTTCTTTAAATATCTGCTAGAAATGCGTCTCATATCTTAAGCTATACATACCTATGTGATGAAACATGTTACCGAATCAGAATGACATTGGGAGCACGAGTGGGAGGGAGGGGAGTCTGTTCTTGCCTCCAAGTCAGACTTTTGTGATTCTGGTGATGGCAAAGGTTGGATCTTTACCCCACCTAGTAATCTGCAGGGGTCTCCCCAATGATCTGCAGATGACACCTATATTCACACAGTTTTCATAAATGTACTCTTTCCTACTCTGTGTAATGGATTGTTAAGATGGGCAAATGCAGCATGCTGTCAAGTACGAAGCCACGTGGGTTGGTGATGGAGCCAAGTGACGTCAATTCCAGTCCAGAGCTGAAAATCGGAAGTTGCTTTGTTTACAACACTGGTAATATATTTAGATATTGTGTGTATTATGCTGTTGTTTTTAATCTGCGTAGAGTAAAAATGTTATTACACTATTGGAGTTTTCCCCTCTTCTTCCTATTTGAGTGGTGAGCGGTTTATCTTCCCGGTGGTGGTGGTGCACTTCTTAACAACATGGTGGAGCACAAAAATTGTGTCACAGTTTGTCACAAGAAAGATTGAAATTCAAGAAACTGATATTATAATTTAATTCTTCTATTAGTTGAACGGGACTTATTATGTTGTTTTGAAGAGTTTATCAGCATATTATATTTATTTCTTTTCACTGATTTTGGAAAGTATATTAGTACACTTTATTAATATATATCACTGAGTAGCGCAACACTCTTTTTATTTGATTATTGGATTAAAGGTTTACTACATTACAATACCTAAAGTTGTACTAAAGGCTATATTTGTTGTTTAAAATATAAAAGAGGTAATACTTACCAGATCTGTGCAACAACACTGCATGGAAAGGTTTCTTACCTCCTTTTCTTGAAGTCCCCCTGCTGGTGCTGTCAGCTTCTCCCTCCTCCAGGTGCCTCCTTAGTAAGCGCCAAGGCTGGGTTGTGTGCACCCATAGACACACACAGCATCAGTAAGTCACATCCACTGCTCTTTCCTCACAGAATTTGACTGGCAGTAGCAGGAGCCTATGACTCCGCTGCAATCAGTCCTTCTGTGAGAGCAGGAAGTAAGGGGAGCAGTGCTGGAGCAGAGACTGGAGTCAGGTAAGTGTTTATGGATGGGGGTGAATAGGACAGATAGTGGAGTGTTTTTTTACCTAAATGCAGAGAATGCATTAAGGTTAAAAAAAAAACTTTTGTACTCTTAATACAATAGCACTTACTTTAGTACCACTTTAATTAGTTAAAAAGTAAATTTTCTATACAGGTCTGTATATCAATGGACAACCAAGGAGGAAAGAGGGACAGGGGAATTTGGTTCCAAAAGAGGTACAGTCTCTTTAACAGCTTCCCGACCCCCTATAGCAGAAGTACTGTACAGGGCAGCAGGGCTGCGCAAAATCACGTATATATACGTGCAGGGGCAGGCTGACAACTCATGGGGCCCCTGGGCAATAGGGGATCATGTGGCCCCTGTGTCTTCACCCACACTCAAACCACACCTAATAAAGCCTATGAAAGGTACCAGGGGCATCTCATGGGGCCCCTTACTGACCCTGGGCCCTCGGGCAGTGCCGGGTTTCCGAATGGTCAGTCCACCCCTGTATACGTGATTTTGCATATCCGGGTAGGGGGTGCTTGAACGCCTCCCTACCCGTGCCTCCTTTGGCTGCTTCAGCTGTCGATCACCTGTTCCCGGACGGAGATTCCCCGCCGGCACCCAGCGATCGCCGGGGAACAGTGACAGAGGAGAGGTTTGTATGTAAACAATACAGATCTCTCCCGTCAGCACCAGCACGCTGCTTTGTATTGCTCTGCATAGCAATACACAGTAAAGCACACACAGACAACACAATAAAACAGCACACAGTTAACCCTTTGATCGCCCCAGATGTTAACCCATTCCTGCCCAGTGTCATAATACAGTGTCAGTGCTTTTTATTAGCACTGACCACTGTATTCATGTCAGTGGCAGAGGCGATCAAATACCACTGAAAGAAAGCTCCATTTGTGGGGGAAAAAAGGACAGAAGTTTAATTTGTGTGCAGCGTTGCATGACCGTGTAATTGTCAGTTAAAGTAACGCAGCGCCATAACGCAAAAAATGGCCTGGTCAGGAAGGGGGGTAAATCATCTGGAGGGCAAGGGGTTAAATAATGTACATTTGGGAGTACAGTTGGAACACCACATGCAGTGTTAAGGCCTTGCCTTCCTAATGACTTCTGTGGCTCCCAGCAGGCTCCAGTCCCATTTTTACCACAGCCAGAACCCCCCCCCAACATAGGAGGTTCTTTTACATTCAGTGTCCATGTGAAAGAGCACTGATAAGGTTTGTGAATCAGTTCAATAGATATACTTGGTGTGTTTGAACCTATTATATGCTGAATTTAAATGGCTTGATTTGTTATCTTAAGTTCATTTCCAAGTAAGGCAAATGACCCTTTTCAGTTGATGAAAGCTTGTGCAGTGTCAGTGGGGATTGTCCTGAAACAAATTGTTAACAAGCAGTCCTTCAAAAAGGAAGAAAATGAATTAACTATGCTTACTGACCTGCTAGCAGGTCCTACTCACCCTCAATTCAAGCAATCAGTCATTGTACGGAAATTGGAATTATTTACTTGACTTTGCTGCCATTACCGTCTTGGTTGGTGGCCAATAGCCCGGCACAGGGGCGGACTGACCTGTTGGAAACTCGGGCACTGCCCGAGGGCCTGGGGTCAGTAGAGGGCCCCATGAGATACCCCTGGTACCTTTTTCATAGGCTTTTTTGAGTTTGGGCAAAGACACAGGGGCCCCATGATCCCCTATTGCCCAGGTGCCCCATGAGTTGTCAGTCCACCCCTGGCCTGGCACATTGGAGCTGCAGTGGGAGGATTTGCACAGCCCAGGGACAGCCTCAGTCCCCTTCACAGACTTTTGCAGCACATGTGGAAGGTGGAACATAAGTGCTCTTTTTTGCTACGTGTCAGTGTGATGTGTATGGGGCTCCAGACCCAAGAACATTGGTCATTCTCTGGGAAGTCATCCAAAGATAGACTGAACTTTTGGTGAGGCTCACTGGAAGCTGGAACAGCCAATGCAAATGGGGTGACAGGACTGGCATACTGGGCATTTTTTTTATGATGTGCCATGTTCATCTTACCCAGGAGCATGTTTATGGGTGTCAGACTCAGAAGCAGATCATATTCTGTATGCTTTTAAGTTGCCTTGAGCTGCTTTTCCATTCACATTGACTTGAATGCAGGCCTAGATCTAGGGGGATGCTGGGGGGGGCCATGCCCCCCCCAGATTTTAGTTTCACCCCCAGATCAGATAGGCTAGATCCGGCCCTGCTTGAATAGGAAAATAAAGTTCAGTTCGTATAGAAAACAATGATTGTGTACAAAGCCCTTAAAATGTATGTCAACCCTAACAATAAACTTTTTAAATTCACTTTAATAAATACCCAATTGAAAATGTATTTATGTCGGTTCAATAAGTGCAAAAAATACCTGGTGGTCTTTTCAGAATTCGGAGCTGTCCTGTATCCCATTTACTCCCCTGTACTGTCTCAAGGAGCCTAATCAGCCCCCTATTTTTTTTTTATCATCACTCTCTATATTGTGGGCCTGGGGGACCAAACAAGAAAAATCTTACAGCGTATGGCCAGTTTTAAGCGGTATTAACCCTTCCCACCCTCCCCCCCCAAAAAAATGTACTATATTATAGCTTACCAGTTCTTAGATATGGTGACTGCATTAGTTTAATTTTTTTAGGCTTTTTTCCCTTTGGGGCTTGTTCATACTAGCAGTGCTGTCTGAAGAGCAATCTGCATTTGAAATGCTCTTCAGAGAACAATTAACAGGCAGTGAGAAGGCATTGTTTCGCCTCCAAACCACCCACTTTAATCCTTTGAAGCATACACTAGCACACTGCAACTCCGTGCATTGTACACAGTTGTGAGGTTCTTGTAGAGTGGGCTCTTTCACTTGAATGGGTTTTGGTTGGTGGGTGCTACAACACCACCAAAAGCATCCGGGTGCTTACATTTTGCTGCCACTGAGAAGCAAATCATCACGGCCATGGTATGTGTATACCCCTGGCCACTGCCTCTGCAGGTAAAGGGGGTAGCAGTTGGGGCGGTTGGGGCGATGTAAGTGTGGCTCATCTGTGGGCTTTTACTGCCCTTCAACCACTAGTGTGAACAAACTATTATTTTCACCTGGTGATCCGGCCAGTAAGACTGATATTTATCAACTTTCAATCTGTCCAGTAAATGTGACAGTTAGAGGGTTGATACAAACCATTTAAAACTGATGGGTTGCCTACAATGGCCAGCTTTTATCGATTTATGTAAAACCTTTATCCAAAAAGGAAAAAAAAAACGATTGTAACTGCTTAAAAATTGTTAGCTGGAGATCACCTTGTATTTGTTAGTCAAGTCCATCTAAATCTGCTAGTCTGACTCTTCCCTCTACCCAGACTGACAATGCTGTTGTCCAATGGTGTCTTCATTACTCCTCTATCCAGAGTGGAGACACCCAATGAGATCACCAGATAAAAAAGAAAAAAACAAAAACGAAAACTAATGCAGCCACCACATTTGAGGATTGGTAAACTGCAGTGTATTACAGTTTTGTTCTTCAAATTAATACCGGTTTAAGTATTTTAAGGCACAGTATATCTAAAAAAATTGATATAATTGCAGCTCACTATTGCTTAGATGTGGACACACTTCCCGGTGGAGAATGACAACCTTACTGAGCAGCATTGTCACCATAACGCTGGCGATAGACGGGCCGTTTATCGGCCGAATTGTCAGCCGATAAACAAAAAATCAGTTGTTGCTGCGATGGATGCTGCCACCAATGCTTACGAAAAACAACCCGTTTTTTGTGGATTTTCCAGCATGTCCGATAAAAAGAAACAAGAAGATCCGCGAAAAAACGGCCGACGGCATTGCCCCGCTAACGGTGTGGATATCGGCCGATTTTTCGTTCGGATGAAAATTCGGCCGATAAACGACCCGTCTATGGCCTGCATAAGACAGGATGTACTCGGACTACATAACACAGTATAATTCTTCTCCATAACAGGGGGATGTGTTTTGTAATCCACAGAGATAGCAGGGAACAATGCTAACTGATAACAGTCCAGACGTGGTGAGGACAGGATGTTATTGGCTGACAAGATTTCTAGCTAGATGAATAGTCATGTTTTCACTTGAATAGATATACTAATACTCTTTCAATGGTATATTAACACACCAAAAGAGAGCAAATAACATACATTTATTGTTGAGGTTTACATACACTTTAAATATATCAGTTTATCATTGACAGTAATAAAGACTTGTTATTGGAGAGAAGGTCATAAATGAGATTTCGGTATTACAACAGACTGATTGATGATTGATAATAGTAATATAATAGAAACATTTTGTTTAACCTGGATGGAATGTTTTCATACATTTACATTGTAATCTAATGTACATATGATACATTATAGAGGAGAATTGTATGTTAATTTATTGTGGTTTACCTATGGTCCAAATTGCATTTTACGGCATTTAAAACTACACCTACAGTAAAGTATTAGCATTGAAAAGTTTATGTGGTTCATTGTTTAATCCTGCAAATTGCATCTGAAAGCAGAACTTCTCTCTCTTAATCAACACGGACTATTTAATCCTGATGCTGCTAGCATTAGTAAATCGATAGGAAGGTATATTATATTTACTTGTTTTATCTTGGGTTCACATTGATGCGGTGCGGAATTTACACTGGTTTCTGTGCAAATTCCGCACCACATTACCCTGTTCATGCGAACTACTGCGGGTGTGTATGTTAAGTTAACAACACCCCGAAATTGGATCGCAAAACACGGTGCGATGTGCAGAATCACATCACAAGGGTGTAAATACCTATGCGATCTGATTCTAGTGCAGACCAAAAAAAGGTTCCTGCACCTTTTTGGAACGGATGCGGTGCAATTTTAGCCATACAGAATGTATGGCTTAAATCGCACCACACAGAATTTGCATGTGATTTTCACAGGAATGCGGTGCGGTTCCTGTGCGAATCACATGCAATATGCTGCACCGCAGAAGTGTGAACCGCTGTGGGTGTGTACGTTAAGTTAACAACACCCTGAAATCGGTTTGCAAAACGCGGTGAGATGTGCAGAATCAGATTGCATGGGTGTGAATACCCATGCGATCTGATTCTATTGCAGACCAAAAAAAGGGTCCTGCACCTTTTTGGTATGGATGCGGTGCATTTTTAGCCATACAAAATGTATCGCACCACACAGAACTCACATGTGATTTGCACAGGAATGTGGTACGGTTCCTGTGCAAATAACATGCGATATGCTGCACCGCAGAAGTGTGAACTCAGGCTGAAACTTTTTTACATTACTTCAGTTACTCCCTGGTTTTCATACCTTGGCAAATGATGCGATACATCTCAGGAGTTTTCAGGAGAGGAGGTACGGTTCTCAGCTCAGCCTATGCCTGAGCTAAGGGCAGATGGAAGTAAATGTTGTTTTCTCCCACACTCCAAAGACATGCTGGTAAGTTAATTGGCTCCTGTCTAAATTGGCCCTAGTATGTGTATGTATGAATGTAGGTTAGGGACCTTAGATTGTACACTCTTTTTGGGTTAGGGACTGATGTGAATGTACAATATATATGTAAAGCGCTGCTTAAATTGATGGCGCTATATAAGTACCTGAAATAAATAAATGTTACATGAATCATCTGCCCTCACTCAAGATGGCTATTGCCAGAAATGCCAGGGGGTGTTTTTCAAAATGATTTCTCAGCAAAATAAAGCATGGAGACATGGATGGATGGAGGAGTTTGCTTTGAATATTAAAAATTAATGAGCGTGTTTGGTTTGTGGTGCTCAGATGCAGTGCAGTTCCACTTTAAGGCCCCTTCTCAGCTTTTTAGGTGGGTCTGATTGTAAAATCCACTCATCCCTATGGATTGGAGTGGATCAAAGGTGGCTGAGTGCAAACAGATAGCAGAGTCCATTTACTCTCAGCCACTTATAGAGCAGAGTGGACTCTGACTGTGTCTGCTCTGCATAAACTGAGTGGACACAGATATGTCATTCGCCCGCTCTGCTCCAATCAGCTTACAGATCCCCTGCTGAAACAGTGACTTTCCCATGTGAAAGGGGGCACTCGTGCATGCTCGTTCCTGAGCTCAGACCTGCCCCTCGCTAGATCCTTATTGGCTGTGATTGACAGCAGTGGGAGCCAATGGCTTCCGCTGCTGTGTCTCAGTCAATGTGGAGGGAGAGTCCCCGGAGACCTGAGGCTTTCATCTACATTGCTGGATCTAGAGGGGGCTCAACTGAGTATTGGGGGGGGGGGGGGGTTGTGGGGAAGCTGCACACAGAAGGTTTTTTACTGTCATGCATAGAAAAACTGATCAACTTGGGTACATTCACCCTGCCCATACATGGTTCAAATCTCGCCCGGTGGTCCCTGCTGAACGAGATTCGAACCTTTTATGGCCTCTTTCAGAAATACAATCAATTATATGACAAGCAACTTAGATATTGTATTTGTTTAATTTATTTTAATGTTATGGGTGTGAGCTTTCCTACTGACCCTGTTTTACGGCAGAAAAAAAAAAGTAAACGTGTAAAAAAAAAAAGAAAAAAAAAAGTATTGTAACAGATGGGGCTACCAGCTCTCAAGAATGAGAAACATCAGCAAAACCAATCTGCTCTTGTATGGTCAGCTTTGTTTCCATCAGAAGCTTTGCTTTCAGGAGCTGATCAAATGAGCAAAGGAAATGCAGTGTTCTTT